AAACTGCACAGAAAAAGGGAACCGTCTGTCAGAAGAGGGCGCTCTCAAACTAGGAACCCTGACCACAAAATGAAGAGGAATAGAAAAAAAGCAGATCACATCCATATAAAAATCACTATAAAAAGCTGAAAATGCAATTCAAAGCTGAAGTGCTGATAACTTCAACACTTTAACACTCTCACTTTAACAATCTCAGAATTGACAAAACTGTAACACAGTGCTCCATACTGGATTAAATATCCTCAAACAGCATTTACATATAATGAAAAACAGTTTGAATAAGAAATTTAAAAACTAAGAAATGGGCAAAAAATAAAAAGGAAGAAATGAATGCTGATTGAACTCAGGAAAGAAATAGAAGAAAATGTTTAAAATTATATTAGAAATGAAAACTAAATTTCTAAAAATGCAGTAAGGGGCATTAAGGAGAAGCAGGTGGGAATAAACTCTAGAGAAGGAAAATAAGCTAAGAAAGAAATAAAAAGGTTTAGAGAGAAAATGATTGTGTTGGAAGACAGGCAGAGGAGGTCCAACATAAGACTACTTGGAGACCCTCAAGAAAATCAAAACAAGTGGCCAGAACTACTATGTAAGATTAGAACCCAGGAAAACTTTCTGTAAATAAAAGAAACCTTGAATCTACATATTGAAGGAGCATACTGGGTACCAAGGAAAATTGACCCAGAACAGTCCAAGAAGTAAACTAGTAAAACTGTTACTCTTCAAAGATTGAAAAAAATAAAATCCTCAAGGCCTCTAGACAAAATGATGACTTACAAAGGCATATAAGTTAGACTGGTCAGACTTTTCACAAATAACATACAAAACAGGACAACAGTAGAGCAGCATTTAAAAAATCTTAAGGATTCTTATCCAAGGATGTGGATAATATATCCATCATGTGTCCTTCAAGAATCAATCAAAGCTATAGGAAGACGGTTCAGATGTACAAGAATTCAGAGAATACTGTGCACATATGCCTTTTCTGGTGAATCTGCTAGAGGGAGTGCTTCATCCAACCAGGGAAACTGCCAATGGATGCATGAAGATTTTATACACGTAGTGGCAGAGCTGACATATGCCTTTTCTGGTGAATCTGCTAGAGGGAGTGCTTCATCCAACCAGGGAAACTGCCAGTGGATGCATGAAGATTTTATACACGTAGTGGCAGAGCTCAGACCAAAAGGGGCTATAGGGTTTTGATATATGAGTCATGGTTTGATTGGAGAAGCAGAACTACTAGCAGAAATGAAAAATAATTAGAGGTTTATTATTGGTACTTGACCTTATGTAATTGTGGAGCTGACTGACTAGTCTATGTGAGGCTGTTGCTTCTGTGTCTAGCACCTCAGCTTGAAGTTAGCAAATTGGGCGGTTGAAAAGGAGAGATGGATATGAAGGAGAGCAAGGGCAAACTAGAACCTGCACGCATGAGCTAGAACCCGCAAGGATGAACTGGAACCCATGTAAGCTCTCAATTTAGAAAATGAGGTAACTAGTAAAGTGGTACCCTTTGTCATGGAGTTAAACCCTCACTTGGGCCAGGGTTTGGAGAAGCTGAGGGAGGAGATCTGCAACCCTTGTATATTCTTAATGCTTTCATTTGCCTCGTGTTCCTTTGCTGGTCCCTTTATTTTCAGCCTTTCTGATTCACTTTGTTTTACATGTACCTCTTATATACAGAATGTATCCAAATCTTTTTCTTTTAACAGGTGAGTTAAGCCCATTTATATTTATTCATATGATTGTTACAATATTTGGAAAAGTTTGTTTTTTTCTTTTATTGGTTATCTTTGTACTTACAACTTTATAAAATAATAATAGCAAACTTTGTTGAGATTTTACTTTATGGTAGGTTCTATGCTAAATGACTTACACAGGTTATCTCTTTTAATCCTCCTGATCTGTGAGGTTACTGTTCTTTTCCTCAATTTACAAATGTGAAAACTGATGAGTAGAAAGGTTAACACTTCTCCCCACCACCCTTATCCCC